ACTATTGCACTATGTGGCATACAATTCAAACAACTGAGAAAAGGCGTCACATAGTAGGCTATTTATTTTACTCAGGCATCACAATTCAAATCAAATGTACGGGAAGAGAGAATGCATGTCATAGCCTAATGTGCCAACACCAAACATGTCACTAGGTATCTCAGAGCAACTCAATTTCTTCTTAACCTACTCCTAAAAAAAATAAAGTGCCCGGTTCGAGCTACACCCTTGGAAAAGAACAGACGCCCAAAGAAAACCAAGGGATACCACTTAACTATCCTAAAAAAAAAAATCTTTTTGGTGTTTTTAATCGGACTTTATCCCTCAAGAAAATTATCCAACAGATCCATCGCCGGGAAAAGTCCAACATTTTCTAATTTTTTTCTTTTTTATATTTTTTTTTCTTGTTTTTTTTCTAAAACAAACTAGACTAAGTAAAAACTAATAAAAAGAAATAAATTGATGCAATTTATACAATGTACATCACAAGAAATAGTTCTCCCACCCCACACTTAGCATATGCATAGTCCCCGATGCATCTAAAAACGTAAAACATAGTGGGGTGAAAAGAAAATTTCCTGCTAGTCGGAGTCCTCCTCCTCAGCATGCCCGCCATCCGCAGCTCCAGGCGCATCATCATCAGGTCCCAGAGGAACAAAAGCCATGGGCTCCGTGACATCATCACCAATCTCATCCTCCGTCTCAGAGACTTTGTAAGTATTTGCGTCCTCCGACGAGTAAATGGGGCTGCCAGGTACAATCCCCAACATCTCTTTGGATGAACCAAACAAATCATTGCTTAAATGCATACGCTCCTCGTCTGATACACCCATCCTGCTCATGAGTACATTTAAGGAGTTATAAAGATACATGTTGAAGTTCTCATCTCTTTTGTTTTGTGCCGCCTGAGTGATCTTAGATGTAGTCTCCAACAAGGATGTGATGTCCAATAGCCCCTTAGGAGCCTCCACTACCTCGTCATACCCGGGGTATTCCAGCACCTCCCAGGAGAGCATATATTGCATGAGCAAGTTGCCAAAGAAAAACCTCGTAATATGCTGCCCAAATTGTGTGCAGACCATCTCCCCCAGCATGATCTCACCCACATTAATGGGTCTCCCAATCATCAAAAAGAATATCACACACACTCGAGCTCGAGTGCATTCGCCGTTGTGTTCAACTGGCATGAGTCGAGCCTGCACGAAATTCTGCCACACTTTGGCGGTCTTGTTGAAATCAGAGCGAACCATCTAAAGATGTATATCACTATGCTTTCTGGTCTACTTGGAATTTGAATAGACGCTACAAAGAGTGTGACATATCACCGTGTAGCTTGGGCTTTTGACAATTTTCTTTAGCCTCCTTGGGTCGGAGTTCTTAACCCCCAAAAATTCACATAAGGCCCGCCTATTCATTGGCACGTCTATTCCACGGACATATGACCTGAACAAGTCTGCATTCTAGTTGGCGTACAGTTCCCTCACCATGGTCAAATTCACATGGCCGGGGTATTCTATGAGTTTGTCCATGTGCAATTCTCGCAACCGGCCAAGCACTTCCGGGAAGTTCTTTTCTAAAGATTTCACATTAATCCCCATCTAGGAGACGTACCGCCCATATGGCACTAAGTACTTATGCCATGCGATAGCAACATCATTGACTATTTTCAAATGAGGCCTCAGTTGCAATGGTGCCTGCTGTGATCCCTTGGCAACTTGTTTCCCTTTAGCTTGCCTCGATGATCCTTCTCCTTGCTTGCGCTCTTTAGGCGCGGGGGCAGTGGTGGAGGACTTTCCTATTCCCTTGCCTTTGTTTGCATTATCATGAGCCATAGCAACCTATAACACGAATAAGCATGAATGTGAGAAAGAATCAAAAAATTCACCTAAGGTTATCGTGCGAGTCAAATAATGACCCCACACTTAAAACCGAAGGCTCAATGTAGTATACTCACAACCGTGGTTTAAAACGCACAAGTGTTTCACCACAAGGCAATAGGTACTCAAGACTTCCCCATGCCACACAATATCTAAAAGGCATTAACTATGCCACACAAACAAGTGATTGATCATGGCGAAGTGAATTAACCTTAATGCAAGCAAGTGGCATATGGTACTTAATTTGTTTTACAACTACCACACAAAATTAGCTAATCCTACAAAGCGCTACAACATACATAATATAAGATACATGGTGTGGGCGATATGTGTACATTGAAACCAAGCTCCCAAGTATGTAGAATCATTCCCTAACACCCCACCCTTAGCCCGATATCACATACAACTACACTCGATTACTCAGACTTCACCGGTGCACAAAATACGCATTCAAACATTTTAGCAAACACCTTGTGGGCATAAAGTGTGTGCAACTTAGTGTAACAATGGTGGAACATGGTGACCCTCCCAAATTTCAACGAAGTGGAGGGAATTCTAGTTTAATACTCCGTATACAATACAACCACAAACCAATTTCATCCCACATTCGAGCCACCCACCATAGAAAAAGTCTTAAGAAGCAACTTAGGGGAAAATTTTGGGGATTAGGGCAATTGGAAGGGGGGATGTTTATTATCATCTACCAAATAAAAGAACAACAACAAGAAGAAGAATAGAACATACCTTTGGGATTTAGGATGACACCAAGAAAGAAGCTTGAGAAATTAGAGAGAGAGGGGGAAGAAGAGTCGCGGCAGAAGAGAGCGTGAGAGAGATAGAGATAGATGAACGAGTGTTTTGGGAGGGGGGTGTTTGAGTTATGTTTTAATTTGTGTTGTGAGTGGGTATGGGTTATAAGGTGGGCTATAATGTTATTATAGATGGGTATAAGGGCCGGGTTCTATGGGTATGGGTATGGGTATTAATTTGATAACCAAAAACAAAACAAAAACAAAAAAACAAAATAAAAAAAATTTAAACTCACCTGTATCCTCCAGACCAGTGCCCCATGCTAGGCGTGGCGCTGAGGGGCTTCGACATTCTGTAACGGGCTCCCCAGGCAGCATGGAGCACTGGCTTGGGTGCTGATTCACAAATTTTCTTTTTTTTTTATAACATCCCGATCCCCCGAGACCTTTATATATCCAATTTACCTGCCCCACACCATTCTACCTATAAATTCTATGTCTACAAAGAAATGCAAACTCTAGTCTACTCTAACTAAAATATATTAAAAAGCTAAGCTATGAAAGCAATAAAAATTGGGTTGCCTCCCAACAAGCGCCTAATTTAACATCGCGGCACAACGCAGGGCCTCACTTACTCATCAACGAGTACTACTTTGGTCTTCTCACGATCAATGATTCCTCCCTAATAGTGCTTGACTATGTGTCTATTCACTAAAAATTTCATTTCACCATGTCAAGCACGCAGCTCAATTGCACCATAAGGAGTGACTCTCACCACCTCAAATGGACCTGACCATCTTTATTTTAACTTCCAAGGAAATAGCTTGAACGTAGAATTAAACAATAATACCTGTTGGCCTTGTTCGAAGTGACGTGGCTTGATATGCTTGTTATGCCATCTTTTCATTTTCTCTTTGTAAAGCTTAGTATTTTTATAAGAGTGCAGCCTGAACTCCTCTAACTCATTCAACTGCAAGAGTCTCTTCTCACCCGCAACTTCAAAGTCCATATTCAACTTTTTAATGTCCTAGTACGCCTTGTGTTTAAGTTCAACATGCAAGTGACATGCCTTCCTATAGACAAGCTTATACGGCAACACCCCAATTGGTGTTTTGTATGCAGTTCTATATGCCCACAAGGCATCATCTAACTTTGCAGCCCAATCTTTCCTATTCACACTCACCGTCTTCTCTAATATTTGCTTTATTTCTCTGTTAGACACCTCAACTTGTCCACTTGTATGCGGATGATATGTCGTGGCAACTCTATGGCGGACTCCATATTTAGCTAGAAGTTTATTCAACAACTAATTGCAAAAATGTGTCATTCATCACTAATCAAGGCTCTTGGAGTCCCAAACCTTGAGAATATGTTCATCTTCACAAACGCAGCTACCACCATGGCATCATTTGTTGGCAAAGAGACCGCCTCTACCCATTTTAACACGTAGTAAACTGCTAGCAAGATGTATTTGTTTTCTCTGGACAATGGGAATGGTCCCATTAAATCTATCCCCCACACATCAAAAAGCTCGACCTCCAGGATGTTTTTCAATGGCATCTCATGGCTCTTTGTGATTGTTCATGTTCTTTGACACTGCTCACACTTCTTAACAAATGCATGGGCATCCTAGAATAATGTTGGCCAAAAGAATCCATATTGTAATACCTTTGTAGCTGTCCTATTGCCTCCATGATGGCCCCCATAACGTGATGCATGACAATCATACAACACTAATTCCACCTTCTTTTCTGGAATGCATCTCCTCATCAAGTGATCAGCACACTACTTGTACAAGTATGGATCATCCCAGTATTAGAAGTTCACATCATGTAGGAACCTCTTTCTAGCTTCAGATTCAATTTTAGGAGGAAGTACCCCACTCACAAGATAATTCACATAGTCCGCATACCATGGGGGAGGGTCTTGGGTGATAGCAAAAATTTTCTCAACGGGAGATGCCTTTTTAATTTGTCCACCCTCCTCCATGTGGTCATGATTATCCAGCCTTGATAGATGGTCAGCTACTTGGTTCTCTGTGCCATTTCGATCTCATATTTCTACATCAAATTCCTGCAACAAAAAAACTCAACGCATCAATCTAGCCTTGGATTCCTTTATTGTAAATAGATACCTGATTGCTGCATGATCGGTATGGACTATGACTTTTATTCCGACCATGTATGCCCGAAATTTCTCAAAGGCCCACACAAATGGCCAACAACTCCTTTTCAGTGGTGGTGTAATTCAGTTGTGCATTATCAAGAATCTTACTTGCATAGTAGATGGAATAAAACATCTTGTCCTTCCTCTAGCCTAGAACTGCCCCAATAGCATGGTCACTTGCATCACACATAAGTTCAAATGGTAAGGATCAATCTGGTGCCGCAATAATGGGGGCAGCCACCAACTGCTTTTTGAGTTCTTCAAATGCCTTCAGGCAGGCGTCATCAAAATTGAAAGTTACATCCTTTTCATGCAACCTGCATAAAGGAGTAGCAATTTTTGAAAAATCCTTAATAAAGCGTCGATAGAATTCCCCGTGTCCTAAGAAACTCCGGACACCTTTCACAGAAATGGGTGGAGGTAATTTTTCAACCGCCTCCACTTTCGCCTTATCAACTTCAATGCCGCTCCTTGACACTCTGTGACCCAACACGATGCCTTCTTGCACCATAAAATGAAACTTTTCCCAATTCAACACTAGATTTGTTTCTTCACAATGGGCCAACACCTTGCTCAAATTCTTCAAACAGTCATCATAAGAAGACCCAAAGACTTAAAAATATTCCATAAAGACTTCCACAAATATTTTTACCATATCGGTAAAAATAGCCATCATGCACCTCTGGAAAGTGGTTGGCGCATTACAAAGACCAAACGACATTCGCTTGAAGGTGAAAGTGCCATAAGGACAAGTAAAAGTGGTCTTCTCCTGATCCTCTAGGCATATGACAAACTGGTTGTACTCCGAATAACTATCAAGGAAGCAATAATATTCATACCTCGCCAATCTGTCTAACATTTGGTCAATGAATGGAAGTGGGAAGTGTTCCTTGCGGGTTGCTTTGTTGAGCCTTCTATAATCAATACAAACTCTCCACCCTATCACAGTGCGAGTAGGAATTAGCTCATTTTTTCTCATTCTCTACCACAGTCATCCACGACAACAGCGCCAAAAACTTGTTCCTCCCAAATGCACATGTTGCACTGGGCTTACCCACTAGTTGTCAGAGATCGGAAAGATGATACCTGCATCAAGCCACATAATTACTTCCTTCTGCATGACCTTTTTCGTAATGGGATTTAATCTCCTTTGTTGCTAAACACTGGGGCGGTGTCCATCTTCCATAAAGATTTTATGCATGCAAAATGATGGACTGATTCCCTTGATGTCAGCAATTGTCCACTCTATAGTTGTTTTATGCTCGCGAAGTACTCTGAGCAATTTTTCTTCTTGTACATTAGTCAAGATGGATAAGATAATCACTGGCAATGTCTCAGAGTTCTCCAAATAAGCATAGCGCAGATGCGCTGGAAGGGGCTTAAGTTCTAGCTTTGGAGTTTCTTCAATAGATGTCTTAGGAGGGGTCAGAGTGACAGCCTGTCCAACTCCTCAAATCTCCCAAACCCATGGACAGAACTGCAAGACATGTTAAGTACTTGCTTAATTTCTCCTATCATCGCATCTTCACTGTCTTCTTCATCCCCAATTAAAGCTCATTCAAGAGGATCTCTGAGGCTCATATAAGGCATCAATGACGCAGCCTCTCTTTCCACCACAGAAATCATGGATAACTCTTCATAGTGGGCTGGCAATTTGAGTGCTTTATACACATTGAATACCTCCACTCGATCACCTACTCTCATCATCATATTTCCTTCACATACATCAATAATAGCTCGGCCTGTGGCCAAGATTAGACACCCTAAAATAAATAAGACTTCCTGATCAGGCTCGTAGTCCAAGATAATAAAATCAGCAGGGAATATGAAAGAACCCACTTGAACTAACAAATCTTTAATCACTCCTTCAGGATGAGCAAGAAAGTGATCATCCAACTGCAAAATTACTGTTGTTGGGCGCGGCTCACCCAACCCCAACTGTTTGAACACAGATAATGACATCAAATTGATGCTCGCTCCAAGATTACACAACGCTCACCCGACTGCATGCTGACCAATTGAGATTTGGATAGTGAAACTACCCGGATCCTTCAATTTCTGAGGTAGCTTGCTTTGAATTCTTAAGCTACATTCCTTAGTGAGTGCCACAGTCTCGAACTCGGTCAACCTCCTTTTATTTTCCACTATGTCCTTGATGTATTTAGCATATTTGGACACTTCTTGCACGATGTCTACCAGTGGAATATTGATTTGCACTTGTTTCAAAATATCAAGAAACTTTTTAAAAGCGGCATTATCATTCACTTTCTGCAATCGTTGAGGGAGCGGAGGTGGTGGCCTCACGACTAATGGTGGGGTTGCTTAGCCACCACCTCTTCAGTTGGCTTCTCTGACTTCTTTGATTTTTCTGATTCTGCCTTTATGGTGGTCGGCTTCTCATTAAAGGTCACTTGTTTTCTCTTTTTTGAATGGACTTCTTCTAACTGTCTCCCATTCCTCAATGACACAACATTAATAGATGCCTTAGGATTAGCCTCAGTGTCTCTTGGAAGAGCTCTAACTGGTCGAGTAATTTGGGCACTGGCAAGTTGTCCCATTTGTCGCTCCAAATTTTGCATCGCTGCTGCTTGGGCTTGCTGGTTAGCCATTAATTTCTTCATCATCTCTTCTTCTTGGGCCTGCTGGCCAGCCATAAATTTCTTTATCATCTCCTCAAGGTGACTCGTCGAGTTTGCATGTTGTTCAGGCTGAGGTGGTCTACATTGTTGTTAAGGTGCTTGTGGCCTGTATTTATTATGAGCACCTTGGTTTCCACCACAAGAGAAGTTTGGGTGGTTCCTCAAGTTAGGATTGCAAGTGCTCCCATACCGGTTTGTCTGGCCCCTATTTATATTACCTACAAAATAGACAGACTCTGAATTAACTGGGCATAAGTCGCTCGTGTGACCCTCTCCACATACATCAAAAAATAATTGAACCTGTTGCACTGGCTGGACTTGTTGCTTGTTAATAACCAAGGTCATCTGATTGACTTGGTTGGTCAATGTGGAAATCTTCGCTGATAATGCAGAGACGACATTCTAACTCGAGAACCCCTGCAGATTTTTGCACTGTGTGTCTGCCCATCTCTCCTTGCCAATCAAGATTGCATTTGGAGAATTTGTTCAATAACGGATATATCTCATCAAAGCTTTTCTCCAAGACTTGACCTCCAGCTGCAACATCTACCACAATCTTTGTCTCGGGATGTAGCCCTTATATGAAAGTGTAAGCTAACACTTTGTTTGTCTGATTGTGATGAGGACAACCTCTGAGTAGCCCCTTGAACCTCTCCTAAGCTGAGTATAAAGACTCCCCCGATTTCTGTTTGAAGGCGACTATCTCACTTCTGATCTTTGCTGATTAGCCTGAAGGGAAGAACCTTGCCAAAAATTTCCTTTCCAGATCATTCCATGATGTAATAGAATTAGCTGGTTCTTCCTTCAGCCATTGCTTTGTTTCGCCCAGCATAGAGAACAGGAACAATGTAAGCCTCACATAGCCTGGAGTGACTCTGTTAGTGATATAAGTATCATTAATCTCCAAGAAGTTTAGGATATGCTGTTATGGATCCTCGTGTGGAAGACCCATAAACTGCCCATTCGTATGTTGTAGCTGGATCATGCTCTGTTTCAGCTCAAAGTGCCCAGTGATTCTGGGCTTCACAATGCTGGAGATGACATTAGCGATGATGGGCATCGCCACCTCCGTAACAACCATATGTTGCTCCTCTGCCATGTTCACAGAAAATTGAACGAGTGCCTAAAGATTATTTGTATCCCTTGCTTCCCTCAACCTCCTGTGAAATGTTCTCTAAGGTTCGGGGTCAAAGCCTTGAAGTCTATCCTGGCTTCTGACCCTTCGCTGTCAATCAAAGTTCCTGATAGAAGAGCAACCAATAAGAGCGTTAGACTTGACGAAATAAACAATTAAAGCAAAAACTAGAAAGTAGTCAATATTCAAGTCCCCGACAACGGCGCCAAAAATTTGTTGCTCTCAAACGCACACGCAAGTATACGTGGTCATACAAGTAATAAAATTATAAGTCGAGTGTCAAACCCACAGAGACTTGTATTAACTACCCACTAAATTCATCGAGATTGTTATTCAGTCGAGCCAATCTTAGTTTAAAAGTGTGATTATACTAAACAATAATTATAACTAGTAACTAAATTATCAAGCATCAAAATGGTTGTTGTGTATTCGGTAGAGACAAATATTCCAGGGTTGTGATCGATTCACCAATTCTATTGTGTTCTAGTTAACTCTCTCTTTCATAAAATTCACTCATCGTTGATAATTAATTGAATAATTACTCTTGTAGCCTTCTCCTGAAGTACTACTCGCCTATTCAAAATAGATTAACACCTATATTCCTATGAAATCAATCTATTAAGNTTAGTATCAAACAATTTCATAAGTGTTGGATAATTGAAAATACTAAGAAAGGATGAAGAAAACTGAGATATTCTCCAGAATGTTTCTCGTTTGTATTCTCCCTTCAAAGTGGCTTCTCCCATCTCAAAATAGGCTTAGTCATGTTTTATATACCTTGGGTATGTCTAGGGCCGAAATAACCTTGTCTCGGGCAAAGTTGGAGAAATTCCTGTCACCACTGTCCAGGGCAGCGAGCGCTGGCTTGCTGCACATTCTATAAACGGCGCCACATGTGGCGTGGGGCGCTGGAATTCAATATTTCCCATTGTTTCTCTATTTTGGCTCTAAGCTCGCACCTTTCGTCCCCTATTGTCTCCTTGATGATTCCTATACATAAAAAAACCATGAATTAAGACAAATCATAACATTTTACATCCGAAATCCATGAAACACGAGTACAACATGAGGCTATATACATATAAATATATATACTTTAAGCTAAATATTAAAGATGCGAAGGAGTTTGTGCGAAAATGCGACGGCTATCTGAGGCACGCACCAGTGATCCATTAGCCTGGGGAGCTACTACATTTGGTCTGGTCACCTTGGCCATTAATGAAATGGGGAATGGACATCGTCGGTCCCCTACCACGGGCACCCAGTATGGCTCAATTTATATTATTTATGACTGACTATGTTTCTAAATGGGTTGAAGCTCAGGTATTCAAGAAAGTCAGAGAAAAAGAAGTTATTGATTTTATTTGGGACCACATAATATGTCAGTTCGGGATGTCGCCCGAGATCGTATGTGACAACATCATGGTAAGAAACATTTTTGAGGACCATAAGATCAAAAGGATCTTATCAACACCCTATCACCCTAGTGGGAATGGGCAGGAGAAGGATACAAACAAAAACATACTCCAAAACCTTATGAAAAGGTTGACCGACGCCGAAGGAAAATGGAAGGAAATTTTTCCTGAAGTCCTGTGGGCATACCGTACGACCTCAAAGTCTAGTACCGAGGTCACCCCATTTTCCTTGGTCTATGGTACCGAAGCGCTAATACCAGTCGAGGTAGGAGAACCTAGTCTCAGGTTTCGATATGCGACCGAAAAGTCAAACAGTGAGGCCATGAGCACGAGCCTGGAACTATTAGATAAAATGCGCGAGGCCTCCCTCGTCTGGTTGGCCGCCCAGAAATAACGGATCGAAAGGTATTACAACTGGAGAGCCAACCTCCGACACTTCAATATCGGGGACTTGGTGTTGAGAAAGGTGACACTGAACACCCGAAACCCAAACAAAAGGAAGCTGGGACCGAATTTATAAGGTCCATATCGAATTATCGAGACTACCAGCAAAGGTTCGTATAAACTCGAAGACGGAAACAATGCTCAACTACCGAACAACAGGAACGTGACCCACTTAAAACGATACTACTGCTAAGGTACGACCTTATTCATTTTATATATATGTATATATATATATATATATATATATATATATATATATATATATATATATATATATATATGCTCCGGTTGAGGAGGTAATTGCTAATT